ACAGCATCTTTGCCTCAACAGTCAGTGCTACCTTGTAAACTCCAAGACAATGCTTGTTAAACAAAAGCTATTACATAGATTTTTGTGGGGCAGAAAAATTGAGAAACTCCTAAAGAATCTTCCAACATTGTCAAGGCTAGCTAACTGAAAGGTATGGTACCCACACAACAGCATCTCCTATAACATAGAAAGTTCCGGGATGAATGTGATTATGGGTGGATTAAAGGAGGAAAGGGAACATGAGGGTGGCAGGTACTTCTGGCTTCCTCCAGGTGTAAGTACCTAGTAGAAAGAAGCATATTCTCACAATTCTGCTTATAATATACAAGAACAACATATTATCCATACCCATAATTTCTCATATTCTTTTGTATTCACAATTCATATTGGAAAACAAATGTCTTTATAATGTTTGTTTTGGACTTAGGAAAACAATCTCAGAATATTTCTACCATTTTCTTTACAACATTTTTTTCATTGCTTATAAATATACCTGCACAAAGAGTATATTATATATATTCTTTGATAAAACAGCTGTATTTGTAAAACATATAAGGACAAAGAGTATAAACAGAATAATCTACAAAATAATGTCAATTTTAGATACCAGCTATTTCTAAAATATTACATAAACAAGTTCAAAATTAAAACTTATCTTTCTTTTAATACATCTATTACAAAATTACTTAAAATCTCTAGAAAGATAGCCAGTGTCATTAATAAACCCATAACTGAGTAAGAAACTTTTTAAAAATTAGATATAGATCTGTTTAGATCAGATATTCAAAATCTTTACTATGTAAAAACTTTGATGGACTTGCTAAGCAAAAATGATTTAATTATCTACTCTTTTATTGAGCCAGTGAAACCAACAAAAATATATTTCTGATAGAATAAACAGTATTATGAATTTCCAAGTAAGTGCCAAGAGAATCAAAAGATTAATATCAATAAGATCCTTTTGGAACAAAAGAAGAAATCAAGTATTTTTCTATAAAATTTAAGCAAAAGGAATAATAAATGTTAATGATACTGTAGACAGGAGAAAATTCTTCCTGTAATATTTCAGGAGGGCTTTTCCATGGTAAGAAGCTCATAATAAAGTATTAAATGCATATATAAAATTCTGTGGGTTGCATAATAGTTGTTCTCTTTGTCCTGTAACATTCAAAAACTAACATTTGACAAAGTAAAATCACACCCTGCAAAAAATTCATTTTAATACCACATGTCACCATTCTTCAATGAGGAAAATACACTAAAGTTAGTTATTCTTTGCATATGCACTAACACCAATTTTCTATACTGATAAATGCTACCACTGGTGCTAATGATTTCTATGTATTTTGATGCAGTTTTAACATTTCTTAGCTTATCAAGTAATAATAACATAAGAAACATAACATAAAAGCAGTCACAAAGTCAAAATAGTAAGATTTTTTTAAAAAAGGTGTGTATTGGTAGCCTAAGTAGCATCACATGTTAAGCAAATGAGAAAGGCTTCCCTTTTATTTATTTATTTATTTTTTAATTTTTTGAGACAGAGTCTCACTTTTGTTGCCCAGGCTAGAGTGAGTGCCGTGGCGTCAGCCTAGCTCACAGCAACCTCAAACTCCTGGGCTCAAGCGATCCTCCTGCCTCAGCCTCCCAAGTAGCTGGGACTACAGGCATGCACCACCATGCCCGGCTAATTTTTTGTATATATACTTTTAGTTGGTCAATTAATTTCTTTCTATTTTTAGTAGAGACAGGGTCTTGCTCAGGCTGGTTTCAAACTCCCGACCTCGAGCAATCCGCCCACCTCGGCCTCCCAGAGTGCTAGGATTACAGGCGTGAGCCACCGCACCCAGCCAAGGCTTCCCTTTTGATTATAGCAGAGCTGAATTATAAATCTCCTTCAATCCATAAGGCCTCATTTATCAAGTTCATTGCATTGCCTAAATGGTAATCTTTGGGCTACTAGTTATTGGACTTCCTTTCACAAACATATTTTTATCTTGTTCTCTTGTTTTAATTTCCTTCACTGTGGCCATTTTATATGTGTGTTTGTGTGTGTGTGTGTGTGTGTGTGTGTCTCCGTATTTCCTTATCTACATATATACATACATGTATGTATGTGTATCCATATTTCTTTATATACATACATGCATATACTCACATAAACATGTGAGTATACCTCTCTCCATAATTTACTTATAAATTACCTACTGTGTGTCAGTTCTGTTCTTGGAGATGGAAAAATGACTAAGCTGTGATTCCTCTCCTCATATAGCAAGCATAATTATAAAACTGCCACCTGTTTGGATTGCTTAACACATGTGCTCCCAATATCACTTGCCAATGGACCTGCCAGCTATTTTCACATGGCTGCCTAGTTTGTGGACCATCTCTTTCAAATGATTCAACATAGTTTGGCTCTAAACTTCCAATGAGCATATTTCTATGGTTTTATTATTAAGTATACGATAGGCACAATATTATTAACACATCATTAGACAGAACATAGGCAATCAATCAATACTTTGCCAATTGGTTGATTGCCTGGTTGAACCATTAGCAGCATAAATTTGGAAACATAACAATAACAAAATAATGGCAGCTACCAATAACTTATAATATCTTCTTAGAGACCAAATATTGTGCCATACACTTTACATATATTCTCATATTCAATCCTACAATAAAGGCATTATTGTACCTGTTTTAAGGATAAAACTGAGGCTTTGAGTTTTAACCAACTTGCCTGAAGTCACACAGCTAGAAAAGGATTAAAACTCAAAGTTTTGCCCATAACCACTAATGGTATACTACCTCTGTATATGGCTCAATCCAACAAAATTTTGATTCATAGCTAATTTCACTAAAGAATAGGTCAACACAAACTGTTAAATCAATCAAAAGTATATAACAATCATGTATGCCAAAAATAAATATTAAAGAAAAGCAAGCATATAACCTGTGTGTGGGTGTGTGTGTATCTTTAAGATCACACACCATTTTAGAATATAGAGACCATCTTTTCTCTGCATTAGCACTCATTGTCAGGACTTGACTTCACAGTTTTAACAACTAAAAAAAATGTTGTTTTTAATAATTGGTCAATTGCAGATCTGTATCTTATCTATATCCTAGCCTCAGGATACAGCACAATGGCTGCCCCATTGTATATGCTCAGTACATAGCAATGTAATAAAATGATTAACTTCTCGAACTGTTTAAAGGTGAATGTTCCATTTATATGAATGTGTGATAACACATAGATCTGGAACATCACAAATAGAATCAGTGAAGAAACACTTATTTTAAGTAGAAAAAGGTAAACTTTACATTTTTAAGATATCAAATTTTTCATCACTATTTCTTAAATACACATAAAAAATACAAAACATGTTAAAAGAATCTTTTGCCTAAAATTGTAATTATGGAAAAGTTGGAAAATTTAGCATTATCTCCACAACTACACCCTGACGACAGATACATTAAATATGTGTGAACACTAGACACATCAAAACAAAGCATGACATAAGAACTAAAATAAAGCTGTTGTCAAGATTGTAGACCTAAATTTAGCAACTTAAGCACGTTTAATCATAAACTCCAAATTAACTTGTAGTTTACTTCCTTGGTTTTAACAATTAATAGGGAGGTAAAAATATACATATATAATATAATGAAATTTTAAAAACAACAACAAGAAGGTGAGAAAAATATAAAGAAAGTTTCTCCATAGAAGTTTAGGAATAGTTTTTAGTATAATAGATTTCAGTAACCCTGATCTTGTACATAGAGCATTAACTTGGCCCATGTCTATATTGCCTTCTCCTATCATCCACACTTTAATGGTCTTTTTCACATTTGATTCCTATCACTCTCCACTGAAAATCCTTGTAGGAAGATGGTGGGAGAAATAGAAAGCAATTTTAAATATTCTAGTCACCTATTCCTACTTGACTTTTTGCCACAAGAGAACCTCAAAGTAGTGACTTCTTAAAATCTCTAGTATTTTCTCCAGCATGTGATATATGGCAGTCATTCAAAATAAATTTTCACATCTACTCAAAGGAAAGCAATGAGCCTGGCGGGGATGTACTAAAGTTGCAATCTTCTTCATCTTCACTCTCTGTGACTATGAAAATGAGGATAATAGTACCAATTTCATAAAATTACTATGAGAATTAAAAGTTATAATGCCTATCATATAAGTGAACACAACCATTAAACATTTTGAATCTCTGCTTCCTCATAGATTAAAAGACACGAATGAAACCTAACTGCTATAAACTCAATGTTTATGTCTCCCCCAAATTCGTATGTTGAAACCTAATCCTCAATGTGATGGTATTTGGAGGTGGGGCCTTTCGGGGGTGGTTAGGTCATGAAAGTGGAGCCGTAATGAATAGGATTAATACCCTTATAAAAGAGACCCCAGAGAGCTCCCATCCCCCTTCTGCCATATGAGGACACACACAAAAAGAGTCATCTATGTATGAACTAGAAAGCAGGCCCTCATCAGACACTGTATCTACCAACACCTTGATCTTGGACTTTCTACCCTCCAGAACTAAGAGAAACAAATTTTTATTGTTTTTAAGCCATCGAGTCTACAGCATTCTGTTATAGCAGCTCAAACAGACTAAGACACCCAAAGAGTTGAGAGAATTAAATGATGAGTAGACATAAGTAAATCAGTTGGCATAAATGCCTGGCATATAGTAGGTCTTCAATAAGTCATTATTCCTTTCTTTTTTTTTTACTAGGTCTCTAGATTCCAATTTTAAGACACAGAAGAAATTTAAAATTAAATGTATTAGAAGGCAACTGGTTGGCTGAAAAGAGGAAAAATCACAGCAATCTAATAAACTATCATTTTTTTCTGGCACCAATACAACTTTCCTATGAAAGACTACAATTACCATTTATTAATACACAAAATATGTTCTAGAAGAAATATGAGAAAAAATTAAAATGACTTTTTAATTAGAATTCATTCATATTTTTACCTTTTCTTCTAGTTGGTCCTTCAAACACTGATATTTTAGCTTCAGTTTTTTGTTCTCACTTTCAGTCTGGGTTAATTCCTCTGTCAATCTATCACATTGTGATTTCAACTTCTCCATCTGACAACGATGGGCTTTAGCCATATTCTTATCTTCTAAACTTTCTGCCTGAGAAAAAGAGAAGGTAAAAAAAGAAAGTCCACTGGCCATAGCCAAATTATACCAAATAAATTACACATTATATCAGAAGGAAAATACTTCAAGATTTTAGCTCTTTTCAAAGCATGCATACTTAAACATTAAAATAAACACAAGGAAATATTCTGTGTTTATTCAATCACTGATCCACACCTACCAAACATTTACTAACTGATAGGTACTATACTAGGTGCTGAAGGTAACAGATATGAACAGTAAAAGAGACGGATGTAACAATCAATTTAACAACAATGAATGAGATGTCCTTAATAAAGGTGTAGGATGGATATTTTGGTAGTCTAAAGAAGGGACACAAATTCTGCTGAGAGGGTAATCAGTCATTAGAGAAGTGTCCCAAAAGAGAAATATTTGGAGGTGATATTACTGACTGACCAGTTTCCTCATATATAAAAGGTTTTTATGAAAGACTTGTGTAGTTTTTGAACAAGTAGCTATTGATACTACCCTTGTGAAGGTAAAAAGATTATGAACTATAACAGCCAAGGGACTACAAACTTAATATGAAAGGGTTTACCAGTAACTATTTCAGCACCAATAGTGTAATAAAATATCCATTTATTAATCTTCACTTGGAATATAATTAGAATGAGCTTTAAAAATATCAGAAATAATCTATTCTGTGTATGAGGTTCAATAAAGATTTTGTAGGCATGTGAACTTAAAGAATTTTAAAATAAAAACATAATCTGTCGACACTGCTCTGAGACCTTTTTGTATACAGTTTTTCCTCATTTCATCCTCACAACAACACTTCTCTAATAACTCCTTCCTCTCTCAACAGAGTTGGTGTACCTTTAAGGTACCAATAATAGTACTATTAAGGTACTATTATTGTCTTATTGCCTCCTTTTTTAAAACTGAAGCAGAAAAAAGCTAATAACTTGCCCAAGGGTAGTGAATTCAGAGCCAGGATTTGAACCTAGGAATTCTTTCTAGCATATTTTCAAATACTTAGTCACACTGCCCCTCAAAAGGTATAACATCCTAAGGTTTTAAAAATCATCTGTGTGCGCCTAGCAATGCTAACTGGCCATACCTACCAGTTTCTAACAATCTGTAAGCAACTACATATAATCTGCTTAAAATACATGTTTCAATGCCTAAAACATATCTGTTTCTTTTATTTTTATAAGTTTGTTATATGTGTTTAATTGGGTATATAGGAACACAATCAACAGAAACAATTTCCTGAAAGGAAGAAGTTTGTGAGTTATAGACAAAATCTGTATTTTATTTACACCACAAAATTCACCTAAGACCTGATGCCACTTTGAATTAACAAATAGAATTGATTTTTTTATGAGCAATCTTGTATTCACAGCCCAAAAATAAATTTACAAAATAAAGTCTCTCATCAGGAAAATTGTTCAATTACGATAAGGTTTCAGTAGAAAGCTTTTACTTTTCTTTATGTCCCATAAAAAGCACAGGTAGATAAGAAGTTTCCCTTTGAGGAACAAGGGAGAACCTTCTCATTTAAAAGCCAGCTTACAGAGACTCAAGAGTCAATCGTGCTCATCTCTTCCCACCTTCATCCCTCTCTAGCGATGTCTCATTTGATAGCTTGAAATCAGCCAAGATGGGGATATTTATACTGAAGTTAGGAAATGCTATAAAATCAAGGTTTTTTTCCTTCACCAGAACTTGTTTTATATATAATGTTTGTCAGCACACTAATGCCTAAGTTTGACTAAGAACTTACTTATTGTTGCGGTACATTTATATTTTATTTTAGGGTTTACAAAGTAATGTATTCACAGCAACCCAGTGATATATAAAGACATCACTATTCCTATTTTATTGATGAGGCATAAAAATGTGAAGTAACTTGACCAAGATCATACGTCTGTCCATCAAGTGGCTAAAGTATAGAACTATAATCCTGCATCTTTTGATTCCAATACAAGACTCTACAAAATGATTCTGTTGAAATTACAATGAGGTTATAGTCCAATATCCTGAAAATATTAATAGCAGTTAGAGTGTATCATTAAAATATTTTAAATTTAAAAATAGGTAAGACAGATGGTGATACTAGATGGAGAAAAAATAATTAATTTGTAGAGAGAAAAAATATAGGTGACGTATCAGACTGAGAAAAAATAAAAACATTAAGGTGAAGCTAAAAAACACAGAAATATAACATTTATAGAACTAGTACCAAAACCCTATTGTGTGCATAATTCAGTATACTATTAAATCTCCTGTGATGGCCACTGTAATCAGATCTTTTTAATTACTATAAATAGGTAAAGTATAGAGTTATATTCATAAAATAGCATGGGTGGAGATTGTTCCTTAAGGGTAATTTATTTGGTTTAAAAGGAAACTGCTGGGTTCTCACAATCTCTGGTTCTCCGTTTAGCTCTTGTCCTATTGCTATACCACATTAGGGAATAGCTGCAACACCCCTCCCAGATCTCAGTCTTTCAAATTTAAAAATAAAAGTATAAATGGTTACAGAAAATCCACACAATGCTTGCAAAATATAAGTTCTTTCTTTACACACAGGTAATTCCTTACAGCTTCATTATCAGCTCACTGTAAATGAATTCAAAGCACTTCCTAAAGAAAGGATGAGGAAATCAATTTTCCCTTATGACATGGGGAAATCCAACTGATCACAGAATAAGTCAGGAGCAAATCGTCTGCTTTCCAGAATTCTAAACATTACAGCCCATCTACTGAGTATTTTCTGTATAGCTGGAACACTATTCAAGATACCTAAGACATGATGCCTGTCCATCTGGAGACTTATGAACACACAACAAACCAAAATACAAGGCAGCACCACTGTGCTCAACTAGAGGTACCAGCAATGAGTCATGGAAACACAGAGGGACCAAGAGATTTAGCCCAAAGTCAGTTGAGAATTAGCCCAACCTCAGTAGAGATTTATTCCAATTTCAATGGATCCATAAAAGAGCTAAAAAATTAATTGGGCCTTGAAGGATTAGACAGAATTTTTCCTCCTGCAGATTGGGAGAAAGGCCAATCCAAATAAAGAATAATCAGTGAAAACTATATGTAGAAATGTGTAATGGTATGAGGAATGCTGGGGAGCATAAAAGGCAATAAATGTGCATAAGTCAGGTGGGGCCATTTCAAGGAGGGCTGGGCTAGCATGAAGCCTTTGTTCCAGAGACAGTAAAATAATCAAGGAAGGTTTCAGAGCAGAAAGTGACACACTCAGATACATATTAATATTTTGGGAAAGGAAATCAGGTGGTATCTGAAGGCTGAAAGGGACGAGTTGGGGGTAGAAAAAAGAACTAGGAGGAAGTAGGAAAGCTATTTAGAAGTGTGCCTCTGTAGTCCAAATTAGTCTTGACCACTCATAAATTTCTTACTGCACCACTGCCCTACTCTACTTCAGAAGGAGGAAAGCAATTATCAGTCAAGACTCACTTCAACTCCCTCAGACCATCCCTACCAATTTACCCAATCTTACTAGTTTCTTATAAAACCTTCAGAGGAAGACATGCCTTGTCTCCTATTAAATACTATATACTGTTTCTGATCCAACCCCTTCACATCTTCTCATGTACCTTCACCATCAACCTCTACCAAATGGAATGATTTTTTACTTCTTTTAGCTTGTCTGTCATATTTAACACTCAATTTTATCTTTCTTAAACGTTCTACCTGGCTTTCCAAGATACTAGAACTTGCTTCTAAATTATTTACTTAAACACTGGTGTTCTAGCATGTCACCTTCTTCAGTCCCCCTACACAAATCTCATCCAAATCCCATGATTTCAGCTAACACCTATGAGTTACAGGCTTCCAAATATTTCACTCTGATCTCAATTTCTCCCTCAACTTCCAACCCATGAGGAACTAAACTGCTCTACCCAGACTTTCACAGTTCATCTCAAGGTCTTTCCCACCTAGCTCAATATGTTAGAAAACTGGGTTAGCCCTTTTACCCTCCAAAGCTGCTGTTCTGTCTATATTCTCCATGTTGACAAATAGCATCTTTATCCACCTAGACAACCAAGTCATTCTCTACTCATCCCTGATTCCAAACCTCTTCCAGGATAGTAAGGTAGTTGAGAACACAGGCACTTGATTACCTGAGTTCAAATCCTGTCTCAAAGACCTTGAGCAAGTTACTTCACCTCTAGTGTCTCAATTCTTACATAGGGAGAAAATACTACCACACAATCTGCAGGGATAAGGTGACTCTTAAATGATTAATATATGTAAAGTTCTTAGAACAGTAACTGGCACAAAGTGTTGAGAAAACGTTTGCTTGTAGGATTACTATTGTCACAGCCAATTAATCAACATGTAATATATATTTTATTTTCTTTAAGATCAGCTCTTTTTCTCCATATCCCTAATGCTACTTTTATGTCCTCATCAACTCTAAAAGATTATTACTCCCCATTTCTCCAATATTGAGATGTATATTTTTCACATTTTACCATCTCTGACTTGGGATGTTGTCTTATAGTTGATACTTTTATAGGCAAGAGGCAATATTTTTATTTCTTAGTAACATAAAACAATGTTCTTAGCTTAGCTTAATGAAATGCAGTAAGGGTCTCTTACCTAATCTTCCAGCCTCCATTCTAACCTGCCTACCCCAATTCATGACCCCAAATCCATTACTGCCAAAAGGCTATGAAGGACTGGATAGAACTCATAAAATAGGTCTAAGCATTCTACAAATATCAGCTATTTCAGTATAATTTCATCTTGCACCATGAGCATTTATCCATTCATTCGCCTATTCAACAGATCTTTACAATATTCTAGAAACTGTTGTAGGCACTGGGGATATAGCTGTGCACAAAACAGACTCAAATTTCAGTCCTCATGGGGCTATCATTGTAATAAAAGGAGATTTAAAAATAAATAAATAATATGGAATCTATGTCTGTGATGATAAGCACTACGGAGGGAAAAAAATAAAGCAGGGAAGAGAGATAAATTTATTGCACTCCTTAGCTGGGCATGGTGGCACTTGCCTGTAGTCCTAGCTACTAGAGAGGCTGAGGCAGGAGGCTTGCTTGAGCCCAGGAGTTTGAGGCTACAGTGAGCTATGATGATAACACTGTACTCTACCAAGGGTGACAGAGTGAGACTCTGTCACACACACACACAAAAAAGATGTATCACACTCCTGACAATCATGGTATGAAATGATTGCCCTGCATGTTGATAATGCTAATACCATTAGATCTTAGAAACATTCCCCCCAAATGCAAGAATTCAATTAGGCATTTACTCAGGCAATTTGATTCAGAAAAGAAGGGGTAAAACTCAAAAGCCTTGGGTTTACACAGCCCATAAGCTAATCCACTTTAGTTACCATACTAATAAGGACTGTGGTTATAGCTTCTATGGCCTTGACAAGTCTTTGCTTTTATATTTTAGGAGGTCATAAATGTTGAATGAGGGCACGTTTCAGGTCCACAACTTACTGCCACCTCTGCCTTTCCCGAACTCCCCAAATAGCTACACGTTCTTTTTAAAGGGCTTCAATGCTTTGAAATAGGTGCTCCCAGGTGGCTGCTATAACTCATTTCAACCTGGCCGAACAGGCACGAATAAGTTTCTTTATTGTTGGTTTTATCTTCCCTTCAGTGCTTGGGAATACAGAATGATGTTTAAACGTTTACGCTTTATTAACTTCATGAGCCACCAGAAAAATTCCTTCAGTATCATCAGGATAATTCAGCACAGGTACCTTCAGTGTCCTAATATGATTCTCAGCCTCACTCTTTTCTTTCTTAAAGTGCTTCATCAGCTCCTGGATATTTTGCTCGTGTTTTGTTTTCACACTCTGCAATGATAATGTGAGATCTTTCAGCTCCCTCTGGTGAACATCTCGTTCTAACTTTAACTGTGTGATGACTGTAGCTGTTTCTTCATCCCTAGATTTCATCTGTGCCGTGAGGTCAGAAAGTTCCTTCAGCACCACTTTCTTGGCTCTCTCTTCCTCAGCCAACTTATTAGCAAGATCTGCTCTGATGGCACTCAAGTCCTTGATGGACTCTTGCAACTCAAGAAGTTTAGTTTTGTCCTTGGCCTGGCTTTTCTTGAGCTCTGCAATTTCTTCCTCTAGGTGAATTTTCTCAGTTTTCATCTGGCTTTGAATCTTACTCTGTTTTTTCAATTCACTTTCTAGTCTCTGAATGGTATCCAGGGAATTCTTGACTTCTAGTTCAAGGTCAGCTTGATGACACTTAATATCACTTAGTTTCTCCTCCTTCAAGTGAAGCTCCTCCTCTTGAAGGGCACGCTTGGTTAGGACATCATTCAATTCCTTTCGAAGGCTCTCTGTTTGTTGTAAGGTTGCATACAGCTGACTTTTCATTTCATCCTTTTCTTTTAAAATCTATCAGGTTAAGAACATAAACCAAAAAAAAGTTATTATAAAATTCACCATAGATTCTGCCAATTAACAAATAAAGATTAATCTGCAAGGAGAAGAACAATTTATCAAACAATACTTTGCATTTTCCATTTTTAAAAAAATATATATTTTTAGGCTAGAAAAGGAGGAAAATATATAACTCTGAAATAGCACCACACTAAAATATGTGTTTCAGATTTTTAACACTAACACTTTTATCAAACCATGATCACAAATAATTAACTAGATGTAGGGTATTATAAAATTGAACAAAAAGGAATAGGGAAAGAAAAGACTCCTATTATAAAGATAATTTACCAAAGGTTGAAATGATATAGTATTACCTAAAATAAAAATGATGTTCATTCCAATGACAGACTTTTAAAAATAAGAAACCCCAAAACAGACATGGAATCATGCAGATACAATCTAAGAAATGTTATGATTCAATCAGTGATTATTTTTAAAACATCAATAGTGACAAGACATATATCTATATGCAACTGGTAGCCCTGAAGCCCACAAAGGTAGAAATGAGATTAATTTATGATTAGAAGAGGTTGGGAAGAGGCTCAAAAGTAAAGTCATGGGACTAGAAGTCCATCATCTTCTGCTAGCCTCTCTGGGGGTTAGAGTCACACTGAAGGGCACAGGCCAAGAATTAACTGTCATGGTCTCTAATTCTCACCACCTAATCACTGCATATAAAATAGGGGGTAGCCAAGGGAACAAAGATCATTTTCTGTACAATACTGGCACCAATGACAATCTCTGTGCCTGCTTACTGATGCCCACCATGTTTTAAACAGGGAAAAAAAAAAAAAGCCAACCATTAAGACACATTTCTGAATTAGAAATAATGAATATAAATATTTGCAAGGCATTTCTACATTTTATACTTTACTGTGAAATAACTTATAATAAAATGTAATGAGGCAATCACTCCAAAAAAAGCATTTCCTCAAATCCCTGTCAGTTTTAACAGGGAGAAAGGAGTAAGAAGCTAACATGAGAAATAATAAAATGAGGTGACTAAGCAGTTAAGCTCTGTCTGACCAAGAGAGAACTGAATTTGATTCTCAGTCTAGCCACCAGTGGTTCTATGGCCTTAAGGAAATTATTTATCTTGATAAAGGTAATAGTAATAGCTACTTCATATGGTTATGATGAAGATTAGTGGGAAAGGGCTAACAAAGTGTGGGGTGGTTATGTGAAAGCAAGAACCAGGGTCCCAGGGGGAGGTATTTATGCAAGGTAGTAATCAAAACAATGAAAAGAGAGGATAACTGATGGACCAATGTCCTGATGTAGAAGGACTCTGGAGTCAGACAAAGGAGTTCATTTTCGAAAGAATTTAAGGCATAAAAAATAGAGAGAAATATAGGTAAGTCTAAGGATAGATGCATTAATTTTCTACTGCTGAATAACAATTTCCAACAATCTTAGTGGCTTAAAACAATACCTATTTATCATCTCACTATTTCCAACAGGTCAAAAGGCCAGGTAAGGTATTCATTCTGCTCAAGTTCTCCTAAGGCTAAAATCAAGGTAACAGCTGGCCTGGCCTCTTATCTGGAGGATAAGAGAATTCTAAGGGAGAATCCATGTCCAAGCTCATTTAGCTTTCTGAAAAAATTTAGTTCCATAGGACTTTGGGTCCTCATTTCCTTGCTAGATTTTGACCAGGAGTTATTTGAAATTTCTAGAAGCCACCTGCATTTCTTGCCTCATTGACTCCTCCATCTTCAAAGCCAACAACAGCTCAATGAATCCTTCTCCTTCTCATGCTTCAAATCTCTGTTACTTCCCCTTCTCCCAAAAGATAGAAAAAATTTTCTATTTTATGGGCTCATGTCATTAGATGGCCCATGCAGATATCACATTCACAGGTTCTAGGAATTAGAGTGAGACATCTTCAGGGAGATTATTCCACTTACTACACTAGAGAAGATGAAAACAGAATCAACTTAGGGCTGTAAGGTTAGTGTGGGAGGGACCAAAGAGTGAGGGTAGATGGCTTAAATATAATGATTAATGTATAAGCAGCTAACATAGCCCCTGGGCATGAGTTAAGAGACTTCCAGGAAGTCCTAAAAATTAAAATCATGATGAAGTTCTATCAGGTAAAATAATCTTTGATTACAAAATATTATGTCTTCCTGAAATTGGTTTAAACAGCAAGGATATTTATTGTTCTCACATAACAGGGAGTCTGGAGATAGGGTGGTTCAAGAAGAGTCCTTCAAAGCTCAAGCTCTACTATTCTATAATTCTATATTTTTTTTTAAATTCCAGCTTTTGCCCTCTTCGTAGTGTTCTAAGTATCACATCAATTCGCAACAAAGGTGACAGCATTAGGGTGCACAGTTACTGACTATGTTGATCAAGTTTGGAATTTCCGTGGCAATTTAGATACTAAAAACTAAGTCAGCTCTGTCTATTCGCTACCGGTTAATTGCTTGCTAGCAGCCACAGCCTAAGATTTTGTACAGACATTTTCTCTGAGTCTGAAAATGTCATTGTCTCTACCGGCATCTCAATACCCAGGACATTCTCAGGGGCCCTCAGTTGAATAGCCTTTATCTTAAGGAAATTCAAAACAATGGAATTGGGTCTCTTTTGTCTGTCCAGGAATGCTTAAATACTTAAAAGAGACCTGAGAAAAAGGCTTTTTTTTTAACCTCATTTTTATTCCTGTTAAGTTTCCTACCTCCCTCTGTGCTTAGACTAAGTTCTGCTTGAATAGACAATTTGGCTTTTCCAACCCTAACCCTAAAAGGCTCTAAATTATCAGACTCATACTCAGTCAATTTGGATTGTAGATTGCAGACTTCAGGCTCCTCACCTAAAAAAAATTTCAAAAATCTCTGCTTTCAGACAGACCAGTTTCAACCTAAACTTGTCTTTCTCTTATAGGACCTTTCTGAAGGCTGAAACATGTACACAACATACTCCAACATATTAACATTTTCCTACTTAATACCATCTTCTGATTGGCAGTATCAATGCCCCTAAGTATTATTTCTGATGGTTTAACCAACCACTTCCAACCACATAGCAAGGTTTACCAATTTCCTTTTAGAACAGCATAACCCTTCCTAGCTCCTATCCTACTTCTTCACTCAATCAATCCTAACAATTTAAGTTCTTCTACAGATAGCTCCTTAATCCTAGAATGCAAATGCAAATTTACATCACCTTGAATTTCTCTGGCTGAGCTGCTCCAGATACAATATGTCAAAACTCTAGCTCCATCTCACTGCAATTCTCTCAGCAATATCCTCCTTTTATGAGGCTTCATTCTCAGGACAACAGCAAGACAACTTAGGCCATTCCAGGCATAATAGCCAGAGGAAAGAGAAAATCTCTTTTCTTGTTCATCTTTTTCATGAGTAAGTAAACATTTACCAGAAGCACCTCAATAGACTTCATAGATCATTCATCACTGATCAGGTCAGGACTATGTACCTAGTGATTGACTTACATTAATTACTGAATGTGATGGATGGTGGGAGAGAGGACATAACCATGACCACTATAGAAGCCAATTGATATTTCTTTGTAAATTTCCATGATACTATACTATTCAGGAGAAGAATCAGAAAAAGTAGAGAGAGTTGGGTTGATTCCAGATTAGAAATCAGTAAAATGAGGTGAGAAAGGAACAAACTAAAGATGCTGGTGAGTATGTCATCAAAGTAGCTTTTAATGAAGTCCAATCTGATAGGAAGAAACTGAATCCAGAAAATGGGTGGTCAACCAGAGGAATGGGGAAAGATGAAAATTGGGTGTTAATGGTTAAAATAGGAAAAGAGAACAGAAGAACTGTAAAAGATCAGAGACTGAGATTCTAGAACTGAAGGCTTTGAACATAAAGCAGTTATAGATGGAGACAAATTTTAATCAAAGAAATTAGTTGCTTACATAGAGAGATCTGAATGAAGGTCACTGTAAAATAGGAAATTAGTAAAGTACAAGGAGATGGGGTTCAATGGGTTGCTGACTTGAAGTTTGAAGTCACTAAGGAAAGTGGCAAGAATTACAAGTAATAAAACAGGTTGAGGGGAAGCCAGGTGCCAAAATCCTTGAGAAATAACTAGTGGTCAGGAAAAAGAGTGGGGAAAAATTGTTCTAAGCAGGCAAACCAAGCTTCCAAAGATGGGACCCATGGGAAGATTATACAAAGAAGGCCTTAAAATGGCTGTGTAAAGCCAGAAGAATGGTGCTATCAAAAACCATGATGGAGACAGGAACGGGAGCCAGCTCCTCAAGGGCCTGACCACAAAGTATATGCAACATTTTTAATTAACTAAAAGGCAAATGGGAAGGATTTTTTTTAAATGTTATTTTTCTGCAGATGCACACAGACGCACACAGAGCATGCACACAGATTGCTAGATTATACTAACACATCAGTACATTATTCTTTCTTAAATTGCATAGGATAGGACTGTATACACACTTAGAAAGTAGCATACTTTAGCACTTATCCTTCTTACTTTCAACCATTAAAAAAATTCAGATTTTATAAAACAGCATCTACTACATATAACAGTCTTTTTTTTTTTTTTTGTCTCAGCAGGAGGGAAACACACAGGAGAAAAAGATGGCAATTTAAAATTCTTGAAGTCAAATACTATCAAGCAAAAAGCTCTATACATGGACAAGCCAATGATTCTTCCAATACATCAGGAGGGAAAAAAATGAAAACCTAGGAAGCCTTCCCATTATCCATGTTAAAAAAGAACACGAAAAAATTTGGAAACATTCAGAAAAGCATACAGTATGATTAGTGTCCAAGTTCAAATTTTTCCCTTTATCATATTCAAAGCATATATAAAAACCAATGAATTCAAACAGTACTTTAGAAGAAACAGAGAAATAAAACATATCACAATTTACAACTAGATTATTTTTATCACAGTTTTAGATCTCCCAGCATGTGTTCATCTACACATCCCTAAAGTACATCATGATTCCCTGATATAAATATCCATGTGATTATCTGTTAAAGAAAGTATGCAATCTGACCTTTGTTTTGTTCTGCAATGATATGCTATTTGCTTGATATTATATATCCTTCAGTAATGAAGTAGTTTTATAATATATGTATCTGATAATCTTACTAAGACTTCAGAAATGTGTAAAGCAGGGAAAAAAGCAATTTTTAAGAGAATAAAAGCCTTTTGACTTTTAATATATTTTTAAGTGGCAAATCTTAAAATAGAAAATAAATTATGCTAGAAAAAGAAAAACAGAAGTAGGCACAAAACCATTTTTCAAATACAAAGACTGCATCATTTCAACCTATAAAATAACTCAACAAGACTATTTATTAAATTATTAAGTATTTAAACTATAACATGTTATATTTGTAAACCAGTATCACTTCTATTTTAATATATACTTCCAAACATACCTAGGAGTCACTTTTTGAAAATAATTAACCCTATAAAACAAACAGGGAGTAGACTGTATTCCTAATGCCTTAAGGTAATTTTGTGATTTTATTAAGAATTAACTATCCTTTAGAGGTAATATTCAGTAGTATATTTAAAAATATACTTTTTTCCAAAATTATTTACCATGTATTTCCACATCACAGATATACTGGACACTTGAATATGTAGTAAAACATTTCTTACCCTTTTTTCCTTGATTAACCATTGCTCTAACTACTACATGCTGCATTAATTTTTAAGGCTTTTAAAGGAGAAATTACAATGCCTGCTGTGATAATTGTGAAACTACCCTAACTGTGGCAATCACTTTAAAACTACTTCTTTGCTTATCATTAGTGATGCTAAGTGATAAAAATAATTATATCAGAAATATTCTGGGAAATGATTGTTTAACAATTTTTAATATTCTAAAAACTCAATCTAGAAAACTCTCAGCACCATAGATTAGGATACTGTCTGATGACATGGACCCTTCTAAATTTCCTCTAATTAAGTAAAACCCCCAGATGATTATCAATAAATCAATTCCCTCAAACACTCTTCTCTCTAGCTACTTCCCTTACACCCAGGCTCATTGAACTAGTTGCCACATCAGGCTGACAACAGAATAATCAAAGTAGAGCAATTTCCAGGGATCAAATCAGTTCAGATTCAAGTCTGAAAGCTTTAGAACTGCTTTACCTCAGGGCAACCAGCCACCCAGTATGTGTCAGATGGGTTAAAATGAAAAGCAATCCACAGTAAGTGCAAAGTGATCACTTCCTTCATCTTCTATATGTCCAAGAAATTCATATGTAAAAGATAAAGTATCTTCTGCATGACAGCTCATCTGAAATAAGCATCTGTCACTCTTAAATGCCAAAAATTGATTTTATAAATATAATGCCCTACATTTCATTTTCTTTTGAAAGAAAATCAACTTATCCAAATAATCATTCTTCTGGAATGTTCAGAGTTCTTGACAAGTGACAAATGACAAAGCACAAATGATAAACCAAGACTTAACATGGATAAAAATCAATCATGACTTTCCTGCTTATTATCTTATAAACATCTGGGTTTAATTCAACCCAAAGATATATCAGTTGAGAATCAACATAGGAATGTAAAATCCATTTAAAGTAACTGACTATACAAGAGAAAAAAATGACATGAAATGCATATAGATCAGTGAAATGCTTTTTGTTGTCAAAAGTGCATGAAAGCAAAGTCTTTTTATTTTTGTATTTTTTTTGAGACAGAGTCTCGCTTTGTTGCCCAGGCTAGAGTGAGTGCCATGGCATCAGCCTAGCTCACAGCAACCTCAAACTCCTGGGCTCAAGCAATCCTTCTCCTTCAGCCTCCTGAGTAGCTGGGACTACAGGCATGCACCACCATGCCCAGCTAATTTTTTCTATGTATATTAGTTGGCCAATTAATTTCTTTCTATTTATAGTAGAGACAGGGTCTCGCTCTTCCTCAGGCTGCTTTCGAACTCCTGACCTCAAGCAATCTGCCCCGCATTGGCCTCCCAGAGTGCTAGGATTACAGACGTGAGCAAAGTCCTGAAGAGACTTGTGACCCAATTACACTGCTCAATTCGTAAGACAGTCAGCGTCACTCATTTAACTAAGCCCATCATACTTGCTGCCAGAAAATGGCCCAGTAGTAACTAGTGCATTTTTAAAATGCTTTATTCTAACCAATACTTAAGTATAAATATACAAATAAATGATTTAAAAACACATGCACTCAAAAGAAAGTCATATGATGTTAAGGAAGATTTAGTAATTCTCTTCCATTTGAATATTAGAATAATAAACAGTAATTCAATTTAGGGAACTTAAAGCTAAACTGGGGGAAGGGTGGATCTATTTCAAGGGCCAACTCTTAAAAGCCACAGAATCCCAAACTATTAAAAAAGATTTTAAAAAATAAAAAACTAACTTTTTTACCTTGAAATAGCCAAAACATAAAGACTCTGCTATCAAATGACATGTTGACAGATTTTATGTATATATGGCACTCAAATGTTTGTTCAACAGATGGATAAATGAACTGTTGGTTACAGTGAAAATCATTCCTTAAGAATTTGGCTTTTATACCTGATTATTCTTGCTTGACAATTGATCAAGAGTTTCAGATTGTTTTTCCAGTTCTCTCTCTAATTTTTTATGCTTAAGCTTCCACTGCCTAATGGACTCTTGAGCTTTCAATTTCAGGTCTTCTCTCCTCTTCTCTGCCTCCTCTCTCAGGGCCTCTGACTGCTGTAACTCACTGAGGTACTGCTCGGCCTGCTTGGTTGCATCCTCGGCATGGAGAGTCAGCTCTGAGATCTGACGGTCAGCATGCTTACGCTCGGCCTCACGTGTGTTAAAGTGATTCTGGATCTCCCTAAGTTGATCCAACATCTGCAGTTGTTGTTTTTCCTTCTTCTCCAATTCACGTGTTAAATTCTGGGAATAAAGAATGTGAAACATTAGGAACATTCTTGTCAAAATTGAATGTGTAACATATCAAGTGAGAATGTCTAATGCCATTGAAATAGAATCCTCTCTATTAAATTTCATTAGCAATCAATCTAGAAAATATGAGTCCTTTTCTGTGTGTTTTATAATCATATTAGTTGGGAATAATTTTTTATAGAAATATTACCTCATAATAGACTTTTATTATCCAAAAAGGGAAAGCATGTATATTTCCAATTGTCACTAAAATAGAAGGCATGATTGAGAAAAACAGTATGCACCATTTTAGTAAGAACCTAGTGTTTTGTCCAACTGAAGAAATATCAATATTTTAAAATTTGTCAGATTATCAGAGATCTATTAGTAGCAATCACATGTAACATTTCACTTTCTGGCAGCACATAAAATTTTATTATAATAAAATAAAAATCAGTAACAATAAAATGACAGAAACATAAATATAAATAACACTATATTAAGTTCCCAGTACTTATATACTGGTTATTTCCAGCTAAACCAACATAATGTTATAAGTTGAAGCACTTATCTCAAGCTGACATGAAGCATTATAGTATAGATTTTTAAATAAATTTAATTTTAATTTATTTGGAATATTTCTCTAATCAAGAAAAAAAGCCTTAAACCTTTAGCTCCCCTAAAACAAGGGTAGCCATTAATATTTTTGGAAATTATAATAACTCATCATGATTAATAAATATTTTCATTTGAGATCAAGTAAATATTTTAAATTAAAAATAGAGTATACTGCTTTTATACAAATATTATAATCATTAAGCTTTGCAAGAAAGTGACAAATTCAGAAATTAAGTGCTTACAACACATCACATAAACTGTTTCTCAAAACCCTTAGTTTCCAAATACTTAGGGGTAACAAAAGAAACGTAAAAAGGTCATGTGTCCAAATAAGAATGGGCTCATGGGGCTAAGATGACACTGTGAGTTGAATAAATAATGAGAATCATCTGTACTAAGACACTGAATAATGAATAGACTAGAAACATTTACCAAGATCCTCTGGCCCCAACAGCAGAATTTTCAGATCCAGATTCCATTAGCCATGATCTGTGGCTCAAATAAAGTTAAATATAATTTCCCTCATGATTAAAGTCATGGTTTGACATTATGGCAAAAATTCTAAAACATGCCTTGAAAACAATCTTCACTGTCTAAGCAACAGGATTACTTACATTTGTGCAATTTGCTAAACTCAATGCAGCCTGGAAGAGCCTTCGTCTAACCCAAACAAAATAGTAAACTGAGAACCGTGCACATGTTTGAGTGGAAAATTCTAAAATGATATCAGAAAACCTTCAGAACTGTGGTTTACCTTTTGACCTCATTCTAAAAACTGTATCAATACTCTAGAAATCAACTTTACTAACAAGCATAATCAAATGATTCCACATCAAAAGAGAAGTGGAACTGATTTTTTTTCAGCAAATACTTGGAGGATGATTATACCTACTACCGTGTTTCCCCAAAAATAAGACCTACCCATAAAATAAGCCCTAGCAGGATTTCTAAACATTTGTGCAATATAAGCCCTACCCTGAAAAAAAGACCTAGTGATGGGCATGGCTACGCAGCGTATCTGCACAACCCAGGCATTTCATCACAGAGCAGTAAAGATGACGAGCAGCCCTTCTCATTTGCCCCATGAGAGCTCTATTGCTCGACATGGGAGATTGGGGCCAATGGTTCTAAAGGAAATAGAGTCGCAAGAAATTCAGGATGGAATTCGGGGTTTGGAAAGTTATGATGATATTCCAGAAGACAACATAACTATATTTGAATAAATGTAGATTGTTGGACTGTAATTTAAAAAAATAACACATCCCCTGAAAATAAGCTCTAGGGTGTCTTCTTGAGGAAAAATAAATATAAGACCCTGTCCTAGTTCCAGGGAAACACGGTATGCATCAGGTATATGGTTTATAGAAAGATTAGTAAAACATGGCTTCAATACTAAAAAAGCTAACAATTTAATTGGGGGGGGTGAGTATTCAAGAGCTAAATTATTAATAAAATAGTAGATATAACAAGGGACTAAAACATGATGGAGAGTTACCTGAAGGGGTCTATAATCGATACATTGTGGCTGGACAGGGTCTCTCTTTGGAGGTGATGTATAAGCTGAGATCTAAATGAAAAGAAGGAGCTAGCAATAATAATAAAACAATTATGACTATTATGGAAATTTAGTGAGCACTTGAGTTGTGCCAGGGATTAAACAAATTCTTTATATAAATTACCTTATTCGATCCCAACACAAAACTAAAATAAGACACTATTATTATTATCCCCATTTTAGTAGTAAGTAACCAGCACTTGCTATAGTTAATAACTCGTCCAAGATCTCGTACTTAATAAGTTAGAACATGGGGATCTGGCCCTAGATAGTCTGATTCCAGAGCCCATGTTTTCAACCCTTTGCTAAACTTTCTTATACTCAGATGACCCTAACTCAGTGCCTCTTCAGCCACTCCCATGGTTCCTCCTTTGAAGCAAGAGGTTCCTCACTGTCCATTCCCCAAAAGCCCCCCATCTCTGGCTTTATCTGTCAATCTAACCAGTTCTTTCACTCCCTTCCTTCTGCTAAACCTGTTCTTCATTGTCAAGGAGATGACCATTCCTTTGACATTCCTTTTGCTGGCTTTCTAACCCAACCACCATATTTTTCACTTTAGCCACTCTCTTGTGCTTACGTTTCAAATTCCTTTTTCAGATTGTTCACCCCCAGAACTTTAACAACAAAACCACCAACTCTAAGTGAACTAAAAAAAATTCCTAATTCCTATGTCGGGTTATTGAGTCCTCTAAGGAAAATCACATCGTAGTACCAGTTGATGTAACCACACATGCAGAACAAGCTCATTAGCACCCAGAAAGTTCTCCACATGCTTCTACCCAGCTCACACAATGGCTATTCCAACATGTTTCATCTCTGACCCTACCATATTTTCCTTCGGTTTTAGCACATTATATAGCTCTTCCTTCAGAAGTAAAATTAAGGCAGTTAATGCAGCACACCCCAAAAATGTCCTATTCATACCATCCTGAAATTTATGAATGGCCATGCTCTCCTCCTCTTCAGCCTCTGAGGAAAAGGGACCCTTCCTCTTAGGCAAATTAGCCTGTCTTTGCTATTTCCTTCCATATCCATCAAGGGCTTCACTATATCAGTCATGTGCTCTATTCCATGTATTGAACCTGAACCTCTCTTTTCCTACTGGATCATTCTGTTCTACTTCTCCCACCTTAAAAAATAACAGTAATGATTTTTTTAAAAAATGAAAAACAAAACAAACAACAAAAAACTTTACTCATCCTACATTATCATCTAACCAGTACTGACTACTCTTCTTGCTTTTAAGCCAAGCTCTTAGAAAGAGTAGTGTCTACACTTAATGCTCCTACAATCTGGTTTCCATCCCTATCATATAATTATTAATAAAACAGCTCTCATCAAGATCTCACCAAAGATCATCTACAGTCAAATACAAAGGACTCTTTAAAAATCTCTTCTCACCTAGTTTCCTTGTGGCATGTGATACTGTTATCTCTTGCTCATTCTTAAGTCTTTCTTCTTCCTTAACTTTCATAACACTTTTTACTAGTTTTTCATTTTCTTCCTGTCCTTTCCTGAGTCTCTTCTACCACTCTGCTTTTAAATACAGATAACTCTACAAGGTTTTAAGCATCATATCCTATCCACCTATCCTTGATAGATAAGTAAGTACCTAGAGGTAGGCAGATATATAAGTGATCCCTAAATTCAGAAGCCAGACTGAATTCCCAAACTCTAGACTTTTAAATATCTAATTACATATGGACTTTCTACACTTAGATATCCCACAGGCATCTTAAATTTAGCATTATCAAAAAAGTGAACTTGGCCAGGTACAGCACTGGGTAATGCCTGTACTCTCAGCACTTTGGGAGGCTGAGGCAGGGGGATTGCTTGAGGCCAGGAGAAACCAATCTGGGCAACATGGTGAGACTCTGCCTCACCAAAAAAACAAAACAAAACCAAAAAAAGTGAACTTATCTGATGCCCAATGCCTAACAAAAAGATAATCCTACTAAAATGGCAGTAAAGTTTCTCTCTGATTAGGGAGGATAGAAAGGGGGCAGATTGTATATTTAAATAGTGAGAAGATCTAAAATAACCACTATAAGGAAAGAGGAAAAAAAAAAAAGAGATAGATGTTTAAAAGATAACAAACAGAAACAAGGTTCCAGTTAGATAGTCTCGAATTTATAAAGGACCCAAGAATTTATAAAAGACCCAAGAGTATACAAAATTCTTTGTATTTCTCCAGCAACTCTTTTGAACCCAGAAGCAAAATAAGTTCAGTGTTATTTATTCATCTGTAATTACAGAGCAACAATAACAGGCACAGGATTAACATGGGCAAGCCCAGAGCTTAAGAATGTAAACTTTTTTGTTCGCACATTTAAAAATTGCAGACTTTCACATTAACATGTTACACACAATAATTCACTTAAAATAATATTTGGAAACATTGCATCATTGATTAGGTATGTGATTATAAATGAACAGAAAAGGGTGTGGTTCTTACTAGGGACAGGAAAGCAGGTATGAATTTGAGCCAGATGAACACCACCTCCCACTGCCCTGAGCCTGGAAACTCTCAGTATACTGCTTCACACCTGGCAGTCTGTATTCTTCTCCAGGTAAAATTTATCATAGAATTCCTTTCTATATTTTTCTGCTAAAGATCCTATTCAGCTACTGTGTTGGCATTTTAATCCATCTTCCTCAAATAACCAATCAGAAAAATATGATTGTATTAAACATTTCTCCCACATCAATCAAAGGATTATACTACAGAACTCTCATAACAATTCCTCACAGACACACTCCAACTCACATGCTCAGACATACATAAACATACATATACAGAGCACACAAGAGTGAAAACACATCATTAATCCATGGATAAATACTTTCAGGGTATTCATAGTAAATTTTAAGGCACAAATATTAAATATTATCTTCTTAATGTACTATTAATATATGAAATGCTAAATCAAAAGCATTTTTCCTATTTATTCCATTATGATGATTTTCAGTCCAATTATTACTATTATATATTCCTGTAAACATCTTCTAAACTAAAGAATTTTTTATATTTAGACTGTGTGAAATTACCTCAGCCACTGAAGCAGGATGGTTAAATTTCACATGACTTAATTAAGCCCATTATATATTTCTCACTATATAAGCACTGTCAAAAAGGGGAACAATCCAAAAACATAGAAACATCCTTTCTACCAAGAATTCATTCCCATACATTGCCAAAAGGTTTATAAAAGCTGAAACTAAATCTAAAACTTTACCCATTCGAATTCCATTTCTTTTCTCTTTCTTTTCTCAAATGGGGAAAAATGGTGATGGAAAGTAGTGTTAAGGGTCTCAGATTTGGTGATAGCAAGGATTCACAAGACCCAGCATATTACAGTCAAAATTATGCTAAGATTTATTAAAGTGAAAAGACACAGAGCAAAATTAGCCAAGGGAAAAGGCACGTGTGGTGAAGTGCAGTGGAAACCAGGGGCACACTTCCAAGGGTCCTCTCCCAGTGGAGTTACACAGGACGTGCTCAGTTCCTTCACCACTGTCTCCCAGGAAAGCTCATTAGAGACACAGTGCCCAAGGTTTTAAAAGAGGGGCTGGCACTTAGGCACCATCTGCCTAGTATCTACCAAAATTCTAGACTCCCAGATAGAAAGTAGATGTTCAACATAAACTACGTTTTTGTATAAACAGTCTAGGCACAGTAAGCTAACCTTATTATCATTTAGGGAAAGCATCATCTCAGTGTAAATAACTGTTTATCATTCAAGTTCTCAGATGCCAGACAAATGCCTACCTTACAAGCAGGCCTTCTAGGGACAGTTGTCTCAGGCCTACTTCATTAACTCTTTTCTGCCCAGTAATATAGTGGCCAAATAGACAGAAAGGAATAGAAGACAATAAGGCCTAAACAAGTCCTTAATTAAAAACAATTAACTACAAATAATACCTGTAAAACAATGCATTTAGGAGATAGTAGGAAAGAACTCTCTTCCTTTAAAATTGATTGGCATTGATTGTCATTGGTTCCCTTTCTAATTTCTGCAGTGGTAGTATGGAAATTCTAAGAAAACTATATAGCCTACTTATATGAATAAGACATTAAGATGAAGATAAAAACTGAAAAGTGATGTTCTATAAAAAAAATCACTAGTGTAGATAAGGTCCACCATAAAATCCAACTTTAACTGATTACACATCTAAGATCATAATTTTGAATATGTTGATTATAAAAGGATATTTATCAACCTGAAATTACAGAAGTAGAAAAAATGGACAAGGTAGGAAAATAATGGAGCAAATTCATAGAATAAAGAAATCAACTCTAACATATAAAAATCTCTCCACCCAACTTTTTCCTATTTCTCATATTCATGAGTAAGAATTACTAAGCCTACATTTAAAACATTTTTCCATTAGGGCTTAAAGGACATAAAGAAGACTATAGTGACTTCAACAATGACTATTATTTCACAGATATAACTAAAATATAATAGAATGCAATTTATCTTCTACTCATAGTTGACAGCCAATGCACACAAGAGATTGGACATCTCAGTGAACATTTAAAAACATATATCAAAAATTGAAAATCTGCCCCAAATAAGCCATAGTACTCTAAATAATATCTATTTCAAATAAACATTTTCATTTACAGTATTTATATACTTCCCGTGGAAATTTGTAAGGGTAAATGAGAAAATAGCCAGACTGTAATAATTCAAAAGTAACATCTCTAGGGAAACAGTGGCATACCTTCGAAAGAACATGAGTCACACAGATTTGTGTTCTAATCCCAGCTCCGCCTCTCTATGACCTTAGGAGGTTGTCTATTCTTTGTGAACCAAAGCAGTCTCATTTATAAAATAGACTCAATAACACCTGCCTCTCAGAGGAATGATAACCTACATGAGATCATTCAGATAAAGCACACAAAGAGTGACTGACACAGTTTAGGAACTCAACAAAGGGAACTTTTTATATCTGACTAGAAACAATGTTAGAATTATAGACATAATCCAGTATCTACATTTTAGAGA